TTGGCAATAAGAGAGAAGTCTCAAATCACAAATCCACCTAACCTTATACTTACTCACCTTGCTAGTATATGTGCACACATGCAAGCTAGAATAACCATAAAACTCTTGAACAAAAACAAAACCAAAATAGAATATCCATTTGCAAAAACATAAATCCCCTTGAATGAAAATAAGCATCAACCAAAAAGATTGGAAACATAATGATGGAGTTGAGGTTTGGATTTCTAGAAAATAAACTTGGAACACAAAATTTAGGAACGGAAAAAAAACAACAGTTGTGAAAGTAGAAAATCAATGTAGGTTTATGAACAAAACATATGATGTCATTCTTGAAGTACATCAAAATATTCAAACAATTTAACAAAATTTACAAGCACTCTACAAGTTGATAAAAACACAAAACCACATGTACTATTCTTAATGGTAAAACACTTGATATAAAATTCCATCAACATTTAGCACTTAAATCAAAATCAAAATCAAAATCTCTCTATCTCATATGATCATCTATTTTATAGAGTCAATGTTCTATATGTAATTATGTGCCACTTTGTTCCTTGGGACGACACTTTGGAAAATTTAAAATCTACTCAAAACAATAAAAGCTGCTAATGATTGTTATTCCCAATTTGGATAGTGGTGTTTATGATGGGTTCAACAGGAGAAAGAACCAAAATATTAGGGATGGTGTGTTACTTCAAGCATTCTCAAAATGAAACCCAACAATAATTTTTGTTAAAATTGTGAAGTAATGAAATGTAACCAATAAAGGCAACAAATTAATTTAATATCTAATTTGACCTAAACTTGAGTTTGGCATAAGAACCTCATAAAATTCATTAAAATACAATAATTACACGGGACCTATTTAAGTGGGGTTGCACACCATATGCAACATAATTATTAACCCTTGGATTACGAACAATTGATCAAGACCATTGAATTGTTTAATGGTAAATAATTGGAAACCAGGGTAACCGGTTAACCCTCCTATTTCCATCTCAATTCCCTCACTCTCTCTATTTCGTCTCTCCCTCTTCTTCTCTTCGTTTGTGTAAGGTTCAATGTAACCCTGGATTTCCATTAACAACAAGAAGCCTCCACTGGGTTTCATTGTTGAATCTTTGTATAACCCTTGATTTCCAGCAACAACGGAACTACAAGCCGGTGTTGGGTTCTATTGTTGAAGTGAAGGCATTCTTTCCAACTAGATATCAAGTATGGAGCTCTCTCTCTCTCTCTCTCTCTCTCTCTCTCTCTTCGCTTCCTTTCACTTCAGTGATTTCCCCCCAACCAAACTCTCATCCTAACTTCAATTCTTCTACGATTCGCTCAACCTGAAACCCCTCCATTTGCAGCAATAACCTCCCTCTCTTTCTCAATTGATTTCTGGGAAAGCCCTAACTCTCTCTTTCTTTGTCTCTCAATCGAATTTTGGCATGCGCTAACTGCCTCTTTCTTTTCATGATCAATCGATTTCTCCATCTCATTCACACTTCTAAAATCAATTTTATCTGTGCTTCTTGTAGCCATAGTTTTATTTTTTAAGTTTCTTGTAGAGTATGTGGTGTTTTAATAATTCACACATTTGTGGAGTAGTATCAATTGACGTCATTGTGTGTTCACCTATTGAATTATTTTCTCATGATTTTGTTGTTGTGTTTATTGTTGAAGTTTGTAATTAGTGTTTTTTTTTTTTTTTGGAGGGGGGGGGGTTAAATTATAGGTTCCGTCTGTGGTGCCAATCTATTCTGCCATGCTCTCCGGCTGGTGGTTACTAAGCGGGCAGTTGTGGTCAGAAAAAATCACCACACATCACATAAATACCAACAAATATCTTTAATATTCGTCTGGCTTTCTGAAAAAAAGTACATTAAAGAGGAGAGAACTAAACTAACTTGTGCATAAAAGTTCTCCTCCCTCAGGGGCAAAGCAAAAAATGCTCAGAATTTTTTTTTTTTTTTTTTTATAACTAAAAATGTTCAGGAATCTAGGCTACAATATCTCCAAATAGGACCTAAGATACATCATTTATTTTTTATTTTTATTTTTTTTCAATCAATTAAAAATATCTTTACCAATAAAAAACTTACCAATCAAACAATTATAATTCAACTAATACATACATAAACTCAACAAAAGCAGTCCAAAAATAACCTTAAAAAGGTATCATAAATAAAAAATTAAAAAAAAAGAAAAAATATCATAATAAAAAAATCTGCTTTTAGTTGAAGGAGATAGGTTGGCATGGGAAAGGGATTGCAATTTTGTAATGGGGTTTATGTATGCACATACATTGCAATTTATCTCAAATCGCAGGGTTTCATTGTTCAAATTCGATTGCTCAAACCATGTGACCACATT